GTTTTACCACAAATTCCTAAACTTAAAGATTGATGGCATCCGGTTCAGGATGAGGTGGCTTCACTGGAATTCAGGCAAGAACAGCATCAAAATTCAAAATAAGTGTTCTGCGCGTAATGATATCTGAATCTAACGAGGAAACATCGGTTCGCTTTTAGCAGTGGATAGTTAGGAAAATATTATCGATTTCTTGTCATCAAACGAATTATCAACTTGGCTGGCAAGTAATAAAAGTTAGAATCAATTCTGTGAATATTTGTAAGGAAATCTATAAGCCTATAGTTGCCTATTATACACAACCTGAAATTCTGCACTGCCTGTAGCTTTCAGAAAATCTTATAGAATCGTAAATATTTCCGATCGGGTGTTCGGCAATGGACGCATTTTGTAGTGTTCATGATTGGCTTATAGATAGTTATAGATTTGCTTACAGATGTGGACAGAATTGACATAAATGAGAAACAAAGATCGAAATTGTAAAATCTGGCTCCGTTAGGTTCTAGCAAGTATCCCAAAGAACAACAATTCCAAATTTGAGAATTCTCTAGCTCAAGTAATAACGTCAGAATGGCATGGAAAAACATATAAACTTTTTAAGCAAATTATATAAGTATGAAGATTACATTGGGATTTAAATTTAAATTATACATTTCCCTTCTATTGGAATTAAAATAATCATATAAAATAACCTCAACTAACAAAATAATTATCATCGTTCATTATTATTTTTGTCTAACAATTTCTTAATCAGCAATAGTTAGCCGACTCTCTGGAATATTATCAGCGAAATAAATTATCATCTCTTCTATTTAAATAAAAAAACACGCTGTAAATACCACTTTACCTGCTTCCTATCATATTGCCTCTAAAAATAAATACAAAATAAAACGTAAAACGTTGAATGTCTGTTTTTGCTGCTCGACAACTTTTACAAACAATTACCATTTAAATAGGAAATTGAAACTTGAGGGCTGAGGCTCACCACAATAAAGACCAAATCCCATTATTGAGACCCAAGACATTTCAATTAAAGTTGGTAATTGCCAGCTTTGTCGGGATAAAATTATTGACAAGGGATCTGGACCAGAATGGTATTATTGATGTTGTTTGGATAAAATTATTGACAACCGAGATGATCTGGACCAAATTTTTATTTGTCAGTTTTACTATTTTTTAATCAAAAAACTTATATTTGAAAAAATAGTCTCACATAAAATGAAATTTTCCAATACCAAATATGATTTAAGGACTTATATTTATTTATCCCATTTTGACGTTTAAAAATGACATTATTGAACGCATAATAACAAAAGTAAGTAGACGTTTATCACCTCAGTGATTTAATAGTTATTTATCGCATTTTTGACAGTAATGTGATACATAACTGCATTCAAAATTGAGTGGTAAAGTGCCACTTTACCTCGATAGCAACACTTTACCACATAGCAACGTCATTGATAGCAACCATTTTGTAAATCAATTTTCATTTGTAAAGCCTTATTCACAGTGTACGCAATTGCAGCATTTCGCAATTTCACGCCAATCAAATAAATTAAAAATAGGAAATAGTTGTTTTATTTGGTTATTATAAAAATTGATAATATAATTATTAACTTCTATTTTTTGCGTTTGCCGGATAGACGAATCGGAATGTTGATCCAGGACAACCCCGCCTGAAACAATAAAAAGCGAACGTTCTTTAAAGTGTCGTGTAGAAGAACCTTAAACCTTGACAATGTCAATGTCATGAAAACTAAATTTGTATTTCAAATTTCTATCAAAATTTAGGAAAAAATATCTTATGAACACAGGATTTGAAACAGTTATATTTAATTGATTTACCTTTTCATAAAAAAAAGCCAACATGAGGTCCTCATTTGGCACTTCTTCCACGTTATTCATTAATTTCCATTGACGGAATTGGTCATATTCTTTCTCATACTTTGATTTTGATTTCTCAGGCAGCAGCCTTGCTGTAGCAGCACGAGCTGCTTCCAAAATCTTTGGATTCGTTTCACTGGACGCCATAGACTGGACGCGGTTCCGAAAATTCTTTCTGATTTTTTGTTTGAATAATGTCACTGGTTTCTAAGTTACCGAAAAGAAAAACCAGCCAGGCATGGGCCACCAGGCACAGGTCTGTTATGATTTCAAAAATTATGTTGTCTTGTCAAAAATAAGAACATTTCTCAATTATTTGAAGACAAAATGCGATAAAATAGTATAAGCAACGCATTTGCAAAGGGTTTTACCAATATCGTGAGGCCTTAGAGCACTCGCTCGCTTCGCTCGCTCGTACACAAAACTGGCCACACTCAATTGGTAAAACCTCACTTTACTAAACTTGTTGCTTAATATACTATTACATTACAAGTGCGTTTATGAACATGATTACAATAACGAGTGTGAAAGATTAGAACGACGAGGTCGTAGACCGAGTCGTTCTAATCACACGAGTTTTGTAGTCATGTTTAAACGCACGTGTGATGTACAACGTTTTATCTGCAAAGCGAAGAATAAGAATGTTTTTTCCATTAGTTCCGTTTATTAGTAGTTGTCTACCTTCATTTTATCTTTACAGGTTTACCTTTGACATTTGTCAAATCACCAAAAATAGTTGTGTTAAGCGGCGTTTCCACAAGCATAGTTTATTGGTGCCAGTGCACGTGCCAGTTTGCTGGCGTAATAACAGTGGCGCCAGTATCTGTTTCCACTTGATATAAAAAATTTTTTAACTGGCGCAGTAGAAAAATGAAAAATGGCGTCAACTTTAATGTTGCTGTGAATATTTTGTTTCTAGAATTATTGCAAAAGACCCGAAAAAACAAGAAAAAGAAACATAAACACAAGATCTGGGTACAAAAATGGATTTCACGCAGAAAAGCTTTAGAAACACCAAATAATTTACTGTCTGAGTTAACGGATGGAGACCATGAGGCATTTCCAAAGCTTCTTATTTTACTTTCGGCAGCAGTGATATCAAAACCACTTAAGAACACGAGAACTCGCACAATACGTCAACACTTATCCTTATAGCATCATCCCGTTTATTCCTAGCTTTGTAACACAAAAGTTTGTGATTCCACAAACAGGGATGCTCTTCCATAAACTTTATAGGTTCAATTTTTTTAGATTTTCCTGACGTTTTCATTACTTTTCTGGAAACGAATAGTGAAAACTTTTGTATTTTTTTTTGACAAACTGTCACACATGGCAAACTGGCGCCAAAAAGTAGACCTCCATTCTACTTTACTGGCGCATGAATAAGTGGCGCAAGTTAACTGGCGCCAGCTAATTTTCCGAGTTTCCACGCGCCACAAAAGTTACGCCAGTCGACTGGCGCCAATAAACTATGCATGTGGAAACGCCGCTTTATAGATTTATAACCTAGTCCATAACACCACTAGTTGTGTTATGAACTCATAACCTAGGCTATAACACAACTAGTTATGTTATGAGTCTCATGCATAACTCAAATACCAGAAAAATGGTTATGTAAAAACGTCTTAACCAAACGCTTGTAGATAAAATATTTTTATCCCATTTTGACGTTTAAAAATAACATTATTGATCGTATAATAACAAAGGTAAGTAGACGTTTATCACCTGAGTGACTTAAAATATTTTTAACTCACTCTTGGTCTTTAAAGTCACTCTGCCAGTATAAAAATCTGCTACAAATACAAACAAACAACTAGTTATGCCATAGTACCTAACTACCAGTTGCAATATTAGATATGCGCTCTCTAAGTGAATTCTTTTTATAATTTGATTCCTATTAAGTACTTTATTTTTCAAATGTCCATCAAAATGGAATAAAATTTTGTATACATCACGTGAGTTAAAATGTTTATTCATTCGAAGAAAATTAACCCACTCGCTAGAGCTCGTGGGTTAAACTTTCTTCTCATGAATGAACATTCATTTAACTCACTTGGTGTATAAATAACTATTAACTCACTCTCGGTCTTTTAAGTCACTCTGCCAGTATAGAATCTGCTGCAAATACAAACAAACAACTACATAGTTATAGCCTATATAGTAACCACCAATTTCAATATTAGACACTTTCATATGCTACTGAGGGCCGATACTTTTCCTCTCGATTAACGAATTTGATACGTCGTCAAAGTTTTGCATGGGCTAAAGTCTATAAGTATGATGTGGTTAGCGCACATTCAAACCCCTGATTATTTTTAACGGCTGTCAAATGAGAGCAAAAGTACCGGCACTGAATGAATTCTTTTTATAATTTGATTCCTATTAATTTAAATGTCCATCAAAATGGGATAAAATTTTGTATACATCATGTGAGTTAAAATGTTTATTTATTCGAAGAAAGTTTAACCCACTCGCTTGGGCTCGTGGGTTAAACTTTCTTCTCATGAATAAACATTCATTTAACTCACTTGGTGTATAAATAACTATAACCTCACCTTGTTTGTATAAGTAAACTCCAGGTTATTCTTTATAAAATTTATATTATACAATCTAATCCATCTGTCAAAACGTAAAATTCACTTTGGCGTGGCAGCCAGCAAGTTTGTTTTGAATATGTGCTTCGAGTTTTGCTTGCAGCTTTGATTTTGATTATTCAATAAAATAAATTTGTTTACTAGGTATGTAAACTACATAGTAAGTCGGGCAGAAACTAGATATTTTTTCGTATATTTTGTTCCATGTGTGGCCTCCACGCCATCTTGAATGTCACGTGGTTTGGATTGTCTAATTCATATATTAGGTTTGTTCGGACTTAGTTCAGAATCAGTTCTGAATTGAACTGCGCATGCGCATTTGTTTATTTATGTTCGATATGATTAAATGCGCAAGCGCAAATCAATAGACCTATCTATTTTTACCTGTATGCGCGCGCAACACGAGGCAATGCATTTTTATTGGCTGCTAACTAGTACAGGTATGAGGTGATCGTTTTGCACTCTGGGCACCTCCTTGTCCTTGTTCATTGCCCGTGGTCTGACAAGGATAAAATTATAGGTATATACATTTGCCAAAAATAACCCACTATGGTGAAAATTTTTAAATAATTAAAAAAACTTTTGTTCAGAGACATGAAATTTTTATTGTCCAATTACACGCTCAACTATTCATATTTCATCTGAAAGATCCCTTGTATCACTAAAACTAAAATAAAACAAATAACAACATATTATAATATATTATGAAATTATAGTACAAAATACTTTTTGTATACCTATATACAAAGTTAAATTATAAGACATTGGTCTGATAAATAGCTTATAAAATAAAGTACATAAATGTTTTCTAAATAACATAACACAGAACATTTTGGCAATCCTACGTATAGGCATGTTTCATCATTTCCAATCGCAATTTGGTCAAAATTGCAAAACAACGCTAGGCTTATTTATATTTAAAAACAACCCTTCACAATACCAAACTATAAAAAAAAATATACTTACATGCAATTTTTCTATTGCAGTAGATATTTTCAAAACTTAAGCAATTCTTGAGATAAATACAAGTAATTTTATATTATAAATCTACCTATTGCAATAAGTACATTTAGGAAGCATCTTGAAATAAACTAATTATTATACAAATATAGTAAAGTTAATACTGTTGCGAAATGTGAATCAAAATTATTTATTGATGTACAATAATTTGATCTAACAGGAATGATCAAGAAGAACCATTCATTTGAAAATTCAACAGCAAATTTACGTGCAGCAAAAAAAAAATATACCTATCAGTAGAATAATTCTGATGATAATGATGATACCTTGATAAAAAAAAGTTTCAATAAAATGCAGTTACATAGTCAAATTTCAAATTACACTTTTATCAATTATTACTAAAATTATAGGAAAGTACAAGGTGTGATCACATAAAAATTATTATTTTTTCGATGAGGATGTCAAATACCTATTTTTAGTGATAAGATTGAAAAAGTCAAAATAAGTACTTGGTACCTACTTATCCGCACAATCTGCATTAAAAAAATTCCAACAGGATTTTCACTTTCTATGCTGATGCATTATTGGTCAAAAATATCAAATCAATGTTTCGCACATGAACATTTTTGAACAGTTTTCAAATAACTTGGAGTATACCTCTAGAATCTTGTCCCATTATGACACATTTCCTCCAAAAACTCCTTTTCATTCCAACACTGTACTTCACTTTCCAAAAATACTTCGTCTCTTAGGTTTTGGTTTATTATTTAGTATTCGTTGTACCTCACTAGCATCAGAGCCACTTTCAGTATCGGAAATCATATTATTACGCACCACATTTTTTAAGGAAGAATCTGCCTTCTTCTGGGGCACTGGCGGTAAAGGCCTATTAGGAGCTCCATTACCATTTTGCTCTATTCTACCATACAAATCTTCGTTCTGGTATCCTTGTGGCACCATTTGCACTTTTCGGTACATATCGTTAGCACTAGCAGTGAGTCTACTATTTCGCGCGAAATTTTCTCGTCCAGCGAGTTGACTGTACGAGTTACGGACCACAGCAGGACTACCTGGATTCGGATGAAGTTGTCCCATTAGCACGCCACTTTTTTGGTACCTCGGGTCAGAATCATGAATTTGTCCGTACATATCACAAACCTTGTCGCTCACAGACACTTGATGCTTTGGCGGTAGGCGACTATAATAGTCGTTGCGTACTCGCGAATTGTACTCGGCAATACTTTGTCTGGACGCATAGGCACTTTGTGGTGGAGGCTGTTGGACAACTCTTATATTATTATTAGAGTTGCCGTTGTACCCTCCAAATTGGCCAAAAATGTCATCATTGACAATAATTTCTCGTCTCAACGGTTGACTTGCTGGGCGCCTTGTAATATATTCAACTTCTTGTCCGATTGAAACTGGAACATTCGGTCTTACCATAATGTTATTTTGATAAGTCGTTCTACGAGGATTTTGACGTTGACCATACAGTTCTTCTTGAATTTGAATGGATCCGTGACGCGTCATTGTTCGTGGTTGTCTCACAGCATCAATTGGCTGTCCATATAACATATCTTCTTGCTGGGTGGTCACACGCTTCGCAACTGGTCCATAAGGATTTTCCATTGGTTGTCTTTGGTGGAGATACAAAGAGTTTTGATTAGCTCGTAACACATACATTGGATCTGCATTAGCATTCACATTTTGTCTCGTACTGTACATCTCCTCTTTAGGGAGGTCGGGTTTCATATTATTCATTTCAACGTATCGATATTGATCGGAATGGGGCAAAAATACTTCGTCGTCACCTTGACTTTGAAGCTTTTCGATCCTTCTCTGAGGCGGACTTTGAGTGTAACCATTTTTCGTCGGCCAAGCCTGAACATTTTGATCCTGAGCGCCAGAGAAGCTAACTTTACGCTTTAGAGAGTCTTCAGTGATCATTTGTCTAGGAGGAGTACTTAAACTGCCTCTTTTAAATATTGGACGATATAGGGAGTTACCATTATATTTTCTAGGACTACCATCTACAGTGCTTCGCTCCAAAGTGTTCCGTTGAAAATATTGTTGCTGTTGCTGTTGCAATTGCTGATGTTGTTGTAATTGCTGATGTTGTTGCAATTGCTGAAATTGCAACTGCTGGACACTCCTTGGTTCCAAACGGTTTGTAACTGCTCGGTTTTCTGGAATAGCGTTTGGATAATAGTTTTCTCGAATAACATTAGCGCCTTGTTTCACTTCACGCGGCAAACTTAAACTTCTTCTGCCATTTCTATTTGCTGCGGGGGAAATGCTTCTTGATCTTCTTACATTTGCAGGCTCTTCAACGTAACCATAGGGTGGCAAATTTCCATATTGGCTCTGCCACAAGTACATGTCATAGTTTTCTTGATCCTTCAACTTCTTAATTTCTTTCCAATAATAAGCCTCGACGCTTTTCCGTATGTCCTCCTTTTGGGGCGTTGTTTTTGGCGATTCTGGAATCTGAGATCCTGAAGGAGTTACGGGTCTCATGTTGGAGCTAATAGCAGGTCTTATTGGAGACAAAGTGAGGCTTTGATTTGAATTAGAGTTATTGGGAGTAGGTGTTCTATTTATTGGCGAATTTGTGTGAACTTGTGCATTGGTGATGATACGGTCTGGACTATCTATCGGTGATGTTTGGCTCAATCTTTGTCTTAAGGCAACGCTTTCGTTGCTACTACGTGATGCTAAGCTTATTCTAGAAAAGTTATTGCTTGTAATATGAGTTTCTGGCAATCGTCTTGGTGGTGCTGGTTTTTGAACAAATGGTGGTTTGGAAATAAGATTATCATTACTTTTTGCGAAGCTATTACGATTATTAGCATAGTTGATGTGATCAGGATAATCAATATCAATCTCTAACCTTTGATGACTAGGAATTTCTTCTTTGGCACCTTTTTTTGTCGGTGTAGGTGATCTTTTAGGTTTCAACAATTCAGTGGCAATAATTTTTTCGGTACTCACGTTGTCCGGGGGTATTGGGGACCTTATACGTGGTGATAAAGGTACTATTTCTCTGTTAGGTGGCAGCCTTAGTTTTGTGGGTTCTACTGAAGGAGGACGAGATAACTTTTCGCTATCTCTACTTGGATGTTCAATGCTGTCGAATACTCGTCCATATGTATCATCCAAATAAGGTTTACTAGCCTCATTTATATTATTTGTTGGAGTACTTTGTGATAATGGTTTACTCACCGAATGAACTGGAGATTCTCTGGTGCCATTTTGATATGGATTAGGCAAAGGTCTTTCAGAATTGATGGGTATAAGAGCTTTAGGATTCACCAAGCGAACGTCTTGTTTGGTTTCAAGAAGTCTTGGCGGGGTATCTCGTCTGTTATCTGTAATTCTACTAGGCCTGAAAGAGTTTTGAGGATAATTTCTTATTTCTACTTCTTCTTCCCTAGATTGAGCCGATTTAGCTAGCACTCCATTTTGATAAATATTCGATCTATCTGATTCTAAAGTACTTGCTGCGCTTGAGCTGGTATCAATATATTTATTAGGCAAGTTCATGTAAGTATTGCCGAGTTCGTTGCTTTTATAAATTGGTTTGTCCATTGGCGTGTATCCCTCACGCGTTAATTTACTCAAAGAATCTGACTTATCAAAATTTTGTTTAAATTGGTTGAATTGGTTGATATGCATTTGAGCATATTCCTTTTGCAGTTGCTCCACATCATATTCATTTGGAACTTTATGATCACTTTTAACATTATTAATATTGTATTTTATAGGGTTAGCTTCTCCTCCTGTAGTGTGTCTATACGGTGACTGCCTGCTAAAAGAATTGGTTTCGTTTTGGAAATTATCAGTGTAAGTTTCCCCATTCTCTTTATTTTGGTATTTATTTTTCTCTTCTTGTTTCTTCTTCTTGTCTTTATTACCGAAAACCGAGAAAATTTTCCGAAAGCTATTAGTACGTTTCTTTTTGTCCATGGTGAAAGCGGATAATTCTTTTTGGAATTTCAAAACGCTTTCTTCAGAATCCGATCGTGTTATTATGGTAATAAATTCGTCTTCCTCTTCAGAAAGGTTATCTGTGCTTCGATATAAGTTATTCGAATTCACATCTTTTTGTTTATTTTTTTCTATGTTCAAGCTTCGTCTGGCGAATTTTGTTTGTTCTTTTTTAGATGGAGTAATTATTTGACTTTTGGAAAGTTTCGACCTTCTCGGCTTTGGAGATGGTTGTAGTTTAGGTGGAATGTTTGGCTTGACGTAACCTAAACCTGTCGGCGAGTATTTGTTTTTTAGTGATTCTACGGTAATTATTTGCGTTGTTGAATCATCTTGTGCGTCGTCATCAGTGTTTTCGTATTTTTCCCTTATTTTATCAAAAAAACTTCCTCGCTCAGGCGTCAGGCTTCTATGCAACTTCAAGTACGCTTTTTTATTAATAGAACTTTGATTAGTATCGGGGTCTTTTTTCAGGATCAAAATGTCATCGTCTGTCTCAAGTTGTACTCTGGAATTAGTTGTTTGATGGCTTGAATTTGCTTCACTTAAATTTGATAAAAGGTTGAAAACTGTTTTGGCTTCTTTGGCAAGTGCTTCAGACAATTCTTGGTTGCTCAACGGTCGCTCTGTGGCTGCCATCTTGACACCCAGGAGTTGGTTTTTCTTTGGCTTCCTCCTGAAACAAAAAGAAAATATGAATGTTAGATGGTTGTTATGCGATAGTTTTACATTTAGTTGAACTAAATTTATTTTGCTCCAGTAATTATCAAGGAAAAAGAGTTTTCTTGATTGCCTGTGAAGATTTTTGACTGAATCCCTAAAAATGTACCCACAAAGAATATTTTAGGTATATTAATCAATATAAGTCTAATCGTCCATCATTAAATAGTAGAAAAAAAGTCACATTTTTCTTATAAATGGTATTTGGAGAAACTATGAAGTAGCGACATACATTAAATATTTTTTAATCACAGGTGTTCAAATTCTCTGTAAATGATTGACTAATTTACAAGTAGATGGCGACATCTTCAATATCAATTCGTTTACACAGTAATTTACAGTGGACTAAATAATTTTATTCAGATACAAATGAAATAATAGTATTTCACATTATTAGCTAGGTTAAACAGTTTTTACTGGCGTTTGAAAGAAGTTATTATGCTTCCCGAACTCAGCGACATATTTTAGAGAAGCGCTGAACAAACGTTTGGTTTGTCGACTCGTCGCGTCTTTGCTGAAAATGACAGCAATCACTTCGTTGTTTGACAGATTTTGATTAATTTTGTGATACAAAAATTATAATTTTCGAAAATTCTGTTTTAACATTTAGCATTTATCATCTAAGAGTTGACCAACTTTTATCTTTCTTAAATTAAATGTTAAATGAACACGCAAGTGCGCATGTGCAACAGGATCTTTTTTACGTCAAATTTCACCCATTATTTATTTTTATTTGTTTATTGATTAGGTGCGATAAAAGGTGTATTTCTGTTGGTTTTTGAAAATTATTAAATTATGGATGTATTCAAGGGTAATAATTCAACTTTTATTATGGGATCTATGTTGTTCCTGATGGCTGAGGCCATGTGGTGTACAAAAACCAGGGTTAGTACTAGGGGTGCAATTAGGAAACCTCGTCGTCGTCGTTATAAAGTTAGGCCCCTCAATAAACACCGGAAAACACATACATAGTATCATTTTCTCGTACAGTTGATGAAATAGAAAAACCATGAACAATTTTTTAAATATACAAGAATGTCTATTGATTTGTATAATAAGTTACTTAAACTTGTCATGCCAAAACTTAAAATGGATCCAAAAGGGGGGACACTGTCTCCATGCCATAGGCTCACTATGACTCTACTGTAAGTATTGTATTGTTTATCATGGGATAAGTAAAAAACTGTAGGTTTATTCATAGTCAATAGGTTTTTAGTTATTTATCATCAGTATGTTCGATGCCAGGAAATTGCATGTTATCACGAAAGTTTGCGAAGTTTTATGGGACTGTAACTGTAATTGTCATTTTTAACTTTTGTTGGAGTACGCATGAGCGAAAAATTTATTTTTTATTCTTTTATAAACGGGGTCTAAATTTTTGAATGCTAAATGTTAAATGTAAAATGTTAAATGTTAAATGCTAAATGTTAAATGTTTTTTATAAAGTCACCATTAGAATGCGTATTTTGCAACCAAAAATGCTTGAACTTCTACTCCAATCTATTATTGTTATGAACATAGCTTCATTTCACTGAAAAGTGGTCTAAATTTGAAATTGAACAGGAATTAGTGAAGGTCTGTAAATGACATTCTATTTAAACGCCCCTCTTAATAATAAATATTTCCTATTATCCCGCTGTGGGATATAGGGCTTCTACAAATTACTTTCATCTTACTTTATTTTAGACAAGATCAATATGTTAGTCTTAACCCGCAACCTCTTGGACAATAGATCAAGCGAGGCTTAACCTGCCTTATTAGCTTTTCTCTGGGTTTTTCACGTGTTTGTCTTGATATATTTTTATTGGGTTTTTTAGTTCATCAATTTCCATTATTTTTATATCTACAGGGTTTTTGGAATTAAATGCAACAAAAGATTCTTGAAAAGAAGGAGTTAGGAATATTTTTTGATTTCTGTTCTGAGAACCCTGGTACTAGAAATCACTATGTTTGGTCCAGTGAGAAACTCTGAACTTGTTTAGCAGATAGGAGTTTAGAATACCGAATAATACTGACGTTATTAGCAAGAAGGACTTAAAAAAAAAAGAGAATTGAAAATTTCGCGTGACTGGGCTAGCAAACAGAAAACGACCTGGTACTGTTTTTGGATAATGCTTCTTCTCAACTATTTAATGGCTGTCGATCGAGTGTACGCCACTGGTATTTTCTTGTTTCTGACTAACCCCTCACCCTTTCCATGTTAGTATGAATTCAATCATATGTACAGTTTTTGAATAATCATCGTTTCCTATGTACATACTTGAACAATAACTTATTATATAAAGCCAGAATTTGTAAGATTATCCACTTTTTGTCAATTTGCCTTTTAACAGGAATTAGTACCTAATGTTACTTTACCAAACTACTAACATAATGTGACAAGTTATTCAAGTACAAATGAGTGAATTGTTGCGGAACTTATGGGTGGACCCAGCCATCTATTCACCAATATGTTGTTCAAGTACGATACTAACCTGACTCACTCAAATGTGAGTTATTCTCATTAGTTCAAAAAGTACACGTTTTAGGTGAATGTCTTACTTGAACAGTTCAACAATATATTGGTGAGTAGATGGCTCCACCCATAAGTTCCGCAACAATCCACTTATTTGTACTTGAAAAATAACTTATTATATAAAGTCAGAATTTGTAAGATTACCCACTTTTTGTCAATTCGCCATTCAACAGGAATTAGTAATGTTACTTCACCAAACTAGTAATATACTCATCAAAATAGTCTAGGGAACAAGAAATATCTGACTTTCAATTTTAGAAAAGAACAACTTTTTAAAAAAGATAAAGTGAGTATTATTTATTGAACAAATCTTCTCAAATTTATCATGTCGGCTTTTTTTGCAAACTTATTTAGTTTAAATATTTTAAAAATAAAATCAGCAAACATTTCTGGTAAGTATAGGAATTATCTTGTTCCCTAGACTATTTTGATGTGTGTATATTGTGACAAGTTATTCAAGTACAAACGAGTGGATTGTTGCGGAACTTATGGGTGGACCTAGCCATCTATTCACCAATATGTTGTTCAAGTACGATACTAACCTGACTCACTCAAATGTGAGTTATTCTCATTAGTTCAAAGAGTACACGTTTCAGGTGCCTTATTTGAACAGTTCAACAGTATATTGGTGAGTAAAGGTCCACCCATAAGTTCCGCAACAATCCACTTATTTGTACTTGAACAATAACTTATTATATAAAGGCAGAATTGGTAAGATTATCCACTTTTTGTCAATTTGCCTTTAAACAGGAATTAGTAATGTTACTTTACCAAACTAGTAATATATTGTGACAAGTTATTCAAGTACAAACGTCGGAACTTATGGGTGGACCCAGCCATCTATTTACTAATATGTTGTTCAATTACAATACTAACCTGATTCACTCAGTTGTGATTTTGTCTCATTAGTTCAAAAAATACACGTTTCAGGTGAATGTCTTACTTGAACAAGTTCAACAGTATATTGGTGAGAAGATGGCTGCGGAACTCGCTGCGCTGGTCCCGCAGAGCTCCACCTGCTAAAGTTCCGCAATAATCCACTTATTTGTATGTACCTACAGTTTTTGAATAATCATACAGTTTTGTATATTTTTGTATGATTCACCATTCGTAGGTCGATCGAGTGTGCGCCACTGGTATTTTCCTGTTTCTGACTACCCTCTCAACCTTTCCGCATGTTAGTATGAATTCAATCCTATGTACAGTTCTTGAATAATCATACAGTTTTGTAATTTCACTATTTGCAGAACACCTAAAATTGAATTGAAGATTTTTGGAGACTAGGAAAGTTTTATCACAGGAAAAACCTATTGAGTTTCATAACAGTTGCTCTCTAGAATACCTTACTCCGAAAAATGATTTGTTTAGTAAATTTCCTATCATTTTTAGGCTGAGTATATGGTATATCATATTAAAGACATCTAAGGATGAAATTGTCGATAATGGAACCAATATACTTATACTTATTAGAAGGAGACGAAAATGATCACTATGCTCATATTGATTTGGGTTAAGAATTTAGCGATTCTGAAGATCGAAAGGAAGAGAAAAAGATTTCTACTGGCTCTACTATGAGCTAATGGAAAAATGGTATAGGTATGCCTAAATACTTCTATGATTCAAGTTATTTAGGGTTTATTCTAGAATAATAAATTATTAGGATCTAGTTTGGCATAACTGATAAAGAAATACCTGGCAACGGCAATATGACAATTATTTATTACTTGTGTGTTATTTATTCCTATGTAAAAGAGCTGTAAGGTACTAAAAATAACGATGACTTACTTGAATGGGACTTTAACTGTAGGTACGTAATTTCACCACAATAAACGTGTCTGACAAAGTAAAAAAAAAAACACTCTTCAAAGGAACAAACATTGAGATATGGCGTTTTATCACCCGTATAGGTACATTTTAGCAAAATAAATATGAGATAATCTAGATTATAAATAATATCGAAGGTAGGAAACCTATATGTTGTTTGCGATAAGAGATGATAGCGATAACAATGAATACTGTAGCGTAGCCCATACATTTGTGAACTAAAATACACAGATTTTATTTTTAACATTAGATACCTATTTGGTTTGTATATAGGTACCTTCCTATACCTATGATTTTCATATTATAGGATACAATGATATAGGTAATTATTAAATTTCATGGACTTGTATCGATTACAAAATATATTGCCACACAAATATACAAAAACTAGTTATCCGACATTGCGTTTTCATCCCACAGAATCCATTATCTGAAAGTTTATCAGGAGGTGAATAAACTGGGACTTAGTATAGTTATGAATGCACCTACCCATTCCTGGTAGAATGGTGAAGGCGCGAGTTAAAAACGATGGCGAAAGCATTATTTTCGTCTCTAGACAAATGAACATTTTTAGAAAAGCCACGAAGTAACTTTCATCTATAGTGACGCGAATGAATACTTTTTTTTAGAGCAACATTATAATAATATGTACCTACTACAATTAATCATCAAGTAATGTTTCTTGAATTTAATAACTACCTACTATAGAAGCAAATTAAATAGGTACATTGTCGATATAAGAATTTCATGGCCAATCAATAATAACCTTTGTAAAAATCAATTTCCAGTACATACCAACCTTAACTTCACCTCACATGAAAAACTTGCGAATATGTAATGAATTTATTAATAGGTACTTATTATATTTTTAGTTGAAATACTATTATTTATTACCTATGTATAAAATGGTAGAGGTAGGTATCTACTTTCTATACCTACCGGTATAATAGTTCAAATGAAAAATATACTTAGTCAATTTATCACGCAACATTTTTATTCTGCAACTAGGTACTTATCCACTGCCCTTTTAAAAATTTATAAGTTGTTCATGTTTAAAATACTAAAATAGAAAAAGAAAAGGACAAACTAGGTATAATATAGGTAGGTATGCAATGAACAAATAGAAGAAAATGAGAAAAGAAATTAAGGAAATTACAATATACATATTATTTAATTCCTAAACTTGGTTCACTTTACTTACAATAGACATTAATATTATCCACTCATACATACTATTCCACCAAAACAACCTTCACCTCCATTAACACAAGTGGAATTATCGCGTTTATTATGTGTTTTGCCATTTGGTAATTTTTTTCAATATACTATTTGACGGACAAGGTCAACTTTTAAAACAGAAAACTTGTTTACGTGTTTAAGGAATAAAGTCGAGATTGTTTTAATTATATTATTTTTCTGCTTGTTAATGGGATTTCGGCTGGCATCTGACCCCTGCAAATAATTGCATTGTAATAGCAGGCATGTGTTTTGCATTGTAGGTATTAATCTACAGAGTGTTAGATGAGAAACGAGCGCTTTTTTTGTGTTCCGTTATTCTAAAGATCACCATTCAAGAATCCTAAACAATGATGAAGGTGACTCATATATCAATAGTTGATAAAATTCATTGTAATGATATTGAATGGAAAACTGGATCGTCAGTTCATGGCCAGAAAACAAGAAGTTGGTGAATCCTTTCGATTATTTTATAGGGAAATATTGAATGTTTCTAAACTGTTCGAATCAGTTGATAAAAGATTTGCAAGAATCCAACGTCCAATAAAAATTAGCAGATTAATCCAAGCGGGAATTATATTCAAAAAGTAGTCCAGGATCTTCTGGTTTGAAAGCAAATAGTTTTATATTTAGAGATTTTGCTTCTGTGAAAAACATTTGTTGAACATCCGAAGAAAATTGAATCAATTCAGAATTTTCCAAATAAATATAGTTTAACAGAATCGAGATCTTTTCTCAAATTGATGAATATTTTGAATATCATAGTATTATTCTATAACTGGAGTATGGTAAATAAACATGGAAAGGTTGAGGGGGTAGTCGGAAACAGGAACATACCAGTGGCGTACACTAGATCGACCTACGAATGGACAACCATACGAAAATATACAAAACTGCATGATTATTCAAAAACTGTACATAGGATTGAATTCATACTAACATGGAAAGGTTGAGGGAATAGTCAGAAACAGGAAAATACCAGTGGCGTACACTAGATCGACCTACGAATGGACAACCATACGAAAATATACAAAACTGCATGATTATTCAAAAACTGTACATAGGATTGAATTCATACTAACATGCCGTAAATTCCCAAATTAGGTACTATGACCAGTCAACTGACATTGAACTTAAATATTTAAATAATGCTGGTGATAATTAGGAGGATACTAATAATAATAATAATAATAGATTTGCAAAAATTTGGAAAACTGAAGATAAAACCGCATATAAATAAGCATGCACAAAGTATAAATTGTGTAATTTGGAAGAGTTGTTCAAATAATATTATAAAATAAACTTTAAATTCTCCTTTGTTTTCATTATATTTGATTATGTACCTATATAGTATATACCAACAAATAAATTATTATTATTAACGATGTTTAATTTTCAAAGATAAATAGAGAACTTCGTCGAAAACCCAATTTCGAAACTCTGTGAAGACCCGAACATAAATAAATCGAGTGGGTGCGTTTATTTATCACGATTTAATATACCTTGGATCCCTTGCTTTGTCATAAGTCATTAACTTGCTCTATTTTTGGAGTTCAAATCGGAGAATTGACGGAAATTCACACACATATGCCTTCTTTTTGGATGAAGTTACCGCTGTTTATATTCGACGAATCGTTTTCTTCTTTGGTGTACGATTTCGGGGTCGTTCCTGATCAAAACATGGCTGGCTATAAAAGTGTAGGTATTTTATTGACTAAATTTGAATTTTCTAGAACTCGTGAGATGATAATGAAGTAAGGTGTATTGGTCAATATACCGGATACTTACCTAACTTGAACAATTTTTGGAATTTTTATCAAGTGAACCTTCAAGATAAGACGTTTTGCTCCGGTAAAAAGCTGTGGTAAAACTATCTTCGAGATAGAATAGAATGATTCAATTTTTTCTATAAGAATAAGAAATTGTCACAAATAATTTAGTAGTAACCTAGTTAAAAATGTTCTTTAATAAGCTTAATAAAGATAAAAGTAATTATAAAAAGCGTTAACCCGAATTGGGAGCTAAATATTATTCAATTACATCAACAACATAAAATTTTACGTTTGTTCATTTTAGCTTTGGTAATTAATATGGCGAAAACAAGTTTAATCAAAATAATACATATTTAGACAGGTTTTTTCGTTGAAAAAATTAGTCGAATAGATATTTAATTTAGTTAATTAAAATATTTAAGATATGTATGTAACTATTGCATGTTGAACTTGAAACGCAGGTTTGAATTCATCTTCATGTTGGAAATGTTTTCCAAAAAAACGACATTGATGAGGTATCGGATTGAATATTATAAATATGAAGTTTTGTGATACTATATTTTCAAGGCATTAGAGCAGGACATACTAGAAATTCAAATCAATTAATTCAAAAAAGAACAAAAAACTTACAAACAAATATAAAGAAAACTGAAAATTACCAAAATATAAAGGTGCAGAACACAGTACAGATAAAACCACCTCACAGGTCGCCTATAACACAATACCTACGTAATTACAAATTAAACTTGAAAAAACCCCAAATAATACCCGCATGAATGAACAAACCCGATTCGAAGTACCCGTCGCGGCCCAAAGAACAATCTCTGTACAGCATATACGTATATATGTAACTATTAGATGGCCTCAAGATGAAATCCAAGGAAGAAAATCATTTAAAGTCACGCATATACCTACCTTTTTACGATCGTTATACAGCTGCATCGAGTCGTTTATAAAACTCTGGAGTTGAATTGGATTTAATAATACGAGGGCTAGTGTATATGATATTACAAAAGCGTATTATCAGCGATGTTCCAACGTGCACAATTAATTGTGCATATTATGCACAATCTGATCTCAATATGCACCATATATGCACAATCTTCATAAAATATGCACAATTTTCACTATCCAGCCAAAACAAAATTATTTTCCTTCAGCAAACCTTTGGCCTTTGGCAACCTCGCTTTGCGCCTTGGTTGTGGTTACTGATATCTGTTATTTTGAAAGCTAAGTTCTAGACTTGTAACTGACAAAAGATAAGAATGAAAACTGTAGACGGAAACCTAACGTAAACCTACCTAACAAGTAACAACTCGATAGCCTATCCTCATAAGGCCTGTGTAGATCAAATGTCAAGCCCCCCTCCCATCTTCCTCCAAAAAACCAGTGATGGCGTAGACAACGTGTCATGTCTCACCTTGACTTAGGGTGTTTGTACCACAGGCTAATAGCGGTTTCCATTTGTCGAACCAGTGCAAAAAAATGTATCCTTATCCTTACATGTTATATGCTTTTAGAAAAAGATGCGGATACACTCAGTGCGCACTGACTGACAAATGGAAATCGCCATAAGATTCCGCTGGCTTTTGCTTATGCATACTTGGTTGCAACTACCATTTTGAGGGAGGTTTAACGATAATCAACGCTTAAAGTGATATGTACAATGTAAAAATGTCACTTTAAGCATTGATAACCGGTAAACCTAACCCAGCTAGCACAAAACATTGCCAGGCTTTTATGCGATAATGCGATGTTTTTTGAATGTGAATCAAAAAACATTTACATGTGATGTACCTTCAACGTTTTATTGACGTTTCACATGGAATAATATTGTCTTGCGAATGTTTTAATGAAACTTTCTTTTTCAACGTGCCAGGAATGTTACGGTTACGTTACACTGCGATCCTCCATTTTATATCCCAAAGAGATATTTTATAAATGCATTTTGTTAATTTACCATGAACGTCTAAATCTAACGTCGCTTGTAACACCTATCAAAATCCGGGATAGAGTTACATCCTTCAAATCACTTTGCTTTCTTTATCGGATGTTTAGAAAACGTT